GGGAGCTGCCTTTCTGTGTCTTGTCACTTCAGGAATGGCGAAAGGCGAAGGGGAAAAAAAAAAAAAAACAAAGAGAATCTCTAAGAGCTGTGTGTATTTAAGGTCTTTCCCTAGATACCCAATCAGACAGGAGCCAATGAAAGATTCATACACGCCAGCTTTATATTTCAAAAGCTTTGGAGTAAAAACAGGGTGTCTGAAGAAGCGGGGGTCAGTACGAGTTCACTCCAGCTCCGAGTCATTCACGTGCGCACCGGAGCAGCATCATTCCACAATCATGTACGTCATCGGGACTTTCCTTTCATCCAAGAGCGGCTTGATTCAAGCAATACCCGCATCCCGCTCTGCGTGCAACCAAACTACACACGGACAGAATTAGACAAATTAGGAGGCGCGGTGATGGCCAGTAGCAAACCATAAATCTATAAATAAAAAGATGACAGGAACATCGACTTCAAGAGACTTCCTCCCACCCAGCCTGTCGATTCCCGACAATAGCCCGGGGACAACGCGAGACAGAGAAAGGGAGATTTGGGAACGGAAAGTGCAAGGTGAGCCCACGAGGGAGCCCGAAACATTTGCCAATCGCGCACATAAACGTGGCGTTGTCAATACACCGTCCCACGTTGATGCTTGGACCTTTAATGCCAACCGCACTGCTGGTTCTGCTGCCCACAAAGCGCCAAGAGGGACTTGTGGAGACGATCCCCCACATGCACCGTCATCGTGTCACAAGCACAGTTATAATATAAAGACACTGAAGGGAGAACAAGACAAGAATCGTGGCCCGCTGCTTCACGCTAGTCAAAGTCAAATCGCCGTTTCAGTACAGTTCAGTTGTATTTCACTTTGCAGTTCTATACATTTGCATTTACTCTTGAAGAACTGTTTTCAAACATTTTAGATGTTTTTTTTTAAAATATTATTGTACAAGTGCTACGAGTTTAATATGATTCATGATTGTGGTCGTAACTCAAACAACTCAGATCAAATCAACTTTGCCCATTCCATCCATTGCAACCATCCCTATTTACTATCTCTCAAACAAATGCAATTTTAATGTCATCATATTTTGATTTTAATCTTGAATATATGCAACTTTTTAATTTTGGAATTTGGTAACTTTGTTAAAATAAATACATTTTTGCTCAGGGATATGCCAAATATTTCTCAAAAATATGTGATTTATTCTCCATATAGTCTTGAAAGTAGATAATTTAGGAATCTATTTTATTCTCAGAATATTATTTGAATCTATTTGTTAATTTTGTAATATTATGACTTTATTTTTTTAAAACTCAAATATATACAACAATTTCTCAAAATATGTGATTTATTCTCATAATTTTACTCTTGAAAAACTTGTTTGTTTTTTTTGTCTAAATTTTTTTTTTTGCAATTTTATGGCACTAATCTAAAACAACAACAAAATATGGGACTTGAAAAAACACACCACTCAAATATATACCACTGATTATCCCCCCAAAAAACTATCTCGAAAACTGCAGAGTTCTTGTTGGAGTATGACTTGAATTCAGAAAGAAAAACAAACAAAAATAAAAAAATACATTATTCTTATAATATGACAAATGCTTTGGCATTGAGGGTACGCAACTACAATCTCCTAATATTGTGAGTTTAATCTCAATAATATACGATTTCATCCCTGGTATGTTCCGTATTGATAACAGAATGAATATTCTGCATACGTATGGGAATATTTTTCTGGTTCAAGTCTGCTTTTATCCCTGAGCATTTCTCGGTAATCCACGAGAAAAAACAAAAGCTCGTTATCGCACGTGGCAAAAGCAGGCGTCAAACAATAAGACAATAACCGGCTAGAATAACAATCAAGCTTTTTACGCAGCCCCCAAAAAACATCGCTTGATTCCGCGATTCACGAACGTCCAATGGGTGCTTGAAACGCCCTCTTTAGCCGCGTGAAGGATTCAGCTGCTGTGCTCTCGAATGAGAGGGGCCACAATTAGGCCCGTTTATTCACATTAACCGTGAACTGTAAGTGGGCCTGCAGTCGGTGCACCGACTTGGGCGCCTTTTGTGCGACGAGGGCCGCTTTTATGCCGCCAACAAAGACGGGAGGGGGAAAAAAAAAACCCACAAGCACCTAATGACAGACGCCTGTCTTCTCTCCTCCGACGTGCACGCAGAGTCACGCGCATGCGCACTCGCTCCCTCGCTGACAAAGTGACTCAAAAGCTCCAACACACGCAGGCTGAGTTGAGTCATTGCTTAACAGGACTGTGGGGGCGGGGTTAAGACAGACTGACAGCGAGGCTCCATCTCCCATCCTCTTATTAACGAGTGCTTTCCTCATGCAATATTCATCGCCGCTAATATCGCCCCGGCTCCGAGCCGTGCCTGCTACTTATGTAAGGCAATTATGTAAACCACCAGGCCGGGGCCCGTGTCGGGAAGCAACCGGGAAGGACGGCAACGTAAAGTCGGGAAAGAGCAACCGAGCGGGCGGCAGACGGAACTACGGACACGCAGAGTGGGACGAAACGAGCGTCGTCGTGTTTTCTGCGCCGTGCGTTGACAAACGTATGTACACCAAGATCCATAGCGGGCGAGCGGCCAGCAATGTAAACAAGCTCGCTCGCCTTTGCGCTATCCATTGCTCACAGCCAGACATCTGAGGACTCCTCAAGGTCACGTCGGGAGAACTGAGGAGGCCTCGCGGGTCGAGCTCACAACACAACATAAACTAGTCCAGGGGTCGGCAACCCAAAATGTTGAAAGAGCCATATAGGACCAAAAAAAAAAACAAAAACCAAATATGTCTGGAGCCGCAAAAAAATAAAAGCCTTCGATAAAACTTCCAATTGTTTGTTATTCATTCCTTTGTTGTGTGTTCACAAACGCCCCCATAGAATTTATTTTGTGATTTCCTCGCTTGATTTTTTTGTTTTGGTGCATTATTTTCGCTTTTCTTAGTGTCAGTGAAGTGATCATGAATTTCCGTTTTTCTGAGGCTGTCTTTGAACGCCTCTCGAGTCGAACGAGAAGAGAGAAGGCACGAAGTCGGACGCAGACGTGTCTGTGATTGTCAAGACTGTTAAAAGCAAAAATAAAGTATACGTTTTAAAAAAAACAACACCACAGCTCTCCTTTTTCGGAGCTGCAACATGCATCTATATCTATTTGAGCTATAATAGCCTACGATCAAAATCTTTTTCCATTTTCAAACTTTTTTTATAAAGCTCCACAGATCCACCAGATGTCGCTAAAGAGCCGCACGCGGCTCTTGAACCGCGTGTTGCCGACCCCCGAACTAGTAGAATGAAGGCGAATGATGTCTTGGTGAAAAAGTCGCGACCAAAACGAAGAATTTGTCATTAGTTTATCCCTCTGCCTTTCAAAAAGTTTCACGGAAATCCTCGTTTGAATTGGGCCACACAATCCTCAATTTAGGTTAGCACCAAACTCATTAAAAACCCACAAAGACTATTTAGCAGAAATACAAACAGCAAAAAAAGAGAAAAAAAAACTGAGGAAAAATAAAAGTCCAATTCCTAGCAGAGTGAAAAGTCACTGGAAAATTGCAATGTTTACATCAGAAATAACTGGAGCACAAATATTAAAATTCACATCCATTTTCACAAAGTTAAAAAAAAATGTTTCCATCACAGGGGCTGGCCTTTTTGCCACTTGCTGTGGACTGAAGATGACATCACAAAGCCTACTGGGCTCAGCTTTGCGAATGTCACATGACTAAGCCCAGAAAACAGGCGAGCAATGGACAATCGCTACCTGAGCCCCGACCAACTGTGATGTCATCTTCAGTCAACAGCAAGGGGCAAAATGGCCGCCCCCTGAGACGGCAAAAAAAAAAAAAAAACGGGTTGCATTTTGCTGCTCAACCCTGATTCCACAAAGGCAACATTTTTTTTTTTAACAGAGGTATTGTGCACCTCTATGTTTCTCATATGAATTGGCTGAGTGCAATTTTCACTCATTATCCACCGCCTGCATATGACAATATTTTCATCATGAATCCTATAATATTCACAATGAAATGATGGATAAAAAAAAAAAAAAAATTCTGGATCGGCACCAAAACGGATCGACCACTGAGTAGTGATCCACTGCTACGAAACAGTGCCAATAACATCACCTCCTTGCCGGAAGTTACAAAAAAATTAAATTAAATGAAATTAAAACACTGATTTACGCACCGGTAGCCGCCCACCCCCGCAGGTCAGAGCCCTATGGGGGTCTGCGCCGAAATAGGTCATTTGTCACACATGATGTCTCGGGGCAGGAGCGTGCATTATAGATGAGCCCAAACAGCATGTCTCAGTGAGCAATCAGTCGGGACCGCGTTGAGAGGTGGGCGGACCTGCGACCGGAACTCCCCGGGAAGGGCCACGTTAAGTAAACACAAAATCACTGCCGGCCACATTTTGGCCAAGAGCCGTCTCAATCCGACGTTTCGATTGTTGAACGCATTGAGCAAGGGGATGCAATGGTGGGGGTTCGAATTTGTTATTCCCACGTTTGCACCTGACCCTCCCCGATGGCTCGCCATCTGCCTCCGTTCGCGCGTTGCAACTTTTCCATGCTTTGTTTTTAGCCAGCGTTCACACATGGACACATTTTCTAAGGCCTTGCCATGCGTTTTCCTTTTTGTCGAAAAGTGTATTCGTAGAGCCAGAGGAGTGAGGTTGAAATGGAGGATGCAAAAGGAGGGGAGGGGAAGGAAGAAGGGACAAGTGCTGCACCCATCTGTTCCGCCAGTGCAGGTGGAGTCCTATTCACTCAGTTCTGTGTGTGCGTGCGCGCGCGTGTGTGTGTGTGTGTGTGTGTGTGTGTGTGTGTGTGTGTGTGTGTGTGTGTGCGCGTGTGTGTGTGTGCGTGTGTGAAGAGGTAGGGGGTGGGGGACAGGAAGAAAGGAAGGGCATTGAGAAGCAGGGAGTGGAGTGATAGAAGGGCAGGGAGGGAAGCGAGCAAGGAGGAGTGCGGGGGGGGGGGCGAGTGGAGGGGGCTTTCGTTGATCTCTCTCCTGAAGGGGATAATGGGCGAGGAGCGCATTGCAATGGCCGCCTTGTAGCGCCCTCCCTGTACAATTAGCCAATCGGCGGCCAGCTCCGGCAGCCAGAAGCAGCACATAAAAGAAGAGCATTGCAGCAGAGGCGCAGAAGGGAGACTACGAGGCGAGCAGGGAATCGAACACGCGCAAAAAAAAAAAAAAAAGAAAAAAGGAAAAAAAAAACACACTCCGAAGCAGCAGGCCACCCCCCTCCCCTCCTCAGCATCCTCCTCCTCCTCCTCCTCCCATCCTTGGACACACCCTACCAAGGATCACACTGCTTCTCCTCTCGACTATTTTTTTTTTGTGATCACACTTCACCATCGGAGAGAACGCTCCTCTCTTCCTCCTCCGTCATCCTGCAAAGAACCCCCCTTTCTTCTCCTCCTTTTCATCCAATAGAGGACCCCCATACAACCTCCGCAGGCTGAGACCCACCGTCAGGTCCCAGTTTGTATTTTTTTTTTTTACCTTTTTTTTTTTTTTGTTTTTTTGAATTTTTGGGAACTCCGGAGAGGGGAACCGTGCGAGCAGAGCACCGCAAGAGCGCCGCCGAGCTTCCGCCGAAAAGAGGGACCTAGATTTCCTTGTCGTTGCACGTCAAGAATGGTTACCGTACGTATGCCTTCTGTCTCTCGTCTTTCCTCTACGTCGGCTCCTGGGGGGGTCGGGTGGGGGGTGTTGATGCTCGGACTGCATGTTGTGTCTCCCGGGCCCCTTTGTGTTAATGTGTTTGCTGCACTGCCATAGCGTGTGCACATGTGATGCGGCCATCTCGAAGCAGTTAGCGTCAAGATTTCAGGTGAAACGGGCAAACTCGGGATGTAGTCAGGGATGGATAAACTGCGGTTTTTGCAGACGGGTGAAGGATGAGGGCTTCATGGTGGTATTTAGTCTTCCATTTTAGGGTTGACGCTCTTCGTTTCACCTGGATTAATGGCAACATTGAATTCCACAAAGGGAGAAATGCGTTCATTTGGGAAGGGGGAGGCGAAGGGAAGGGCGGGTGAGTTGGTTTTCTTGGCCCGGGTGCACGCATCAACAAGGATGCCGGAGACAAAACGCGATGCCTTGGAGGCTGCTTCATCCAACAAGGAAAGAGAAAAAAAAGATGAAAAAAAAAAAACAAAACGGTTGAGTCACTCCGTACTGGGGGGAGGAGAGACGTTACACATCCCTTTGCCTTTTGCTTTTGTTAAAAGGAACCATTCGGAAATTACGACGTGAGCATGCGAGTGAGCAAAGAGAGTTACGCGGTCTCCATTTTACTTCCCTCTTTTAAAAAAATTAATTAAATAAATACAACACATGGCGGCCATGCTCGGTAGTAAAAAAATGGGGAGATGCAGGGAGGATTTGGCTCGGTTGAGTGGCCTGTGGTCCGTTTTTTTTTTTTTTTTTGGGCGTGTCAGGATGGACACCCGGGCCTTTAAGCCCACTAATGAATTGTTCATTGAAGGATTTGATTTATTTTGAATTACAAAGTGAAATAATACAAATTCATGTGGAAAAGAATTCTAATTGCAGCACCTGCAATTATATTTGGAGCATTTTATAACAATCATCGCTATTTCTTTCATGTCCTTACCTATCACACATGGGCAGAGACAGTGTGCCACCCCCCCCACCCCCTTTA